GGTTGCTGGCTGGCAGCTCCTGGTGGTTGGTAGCGTTTTCTTTTTTTTTTATTATTATTATTTGCCGGGGTCGAGTCTATTATGCTGATTTATTTGTATTTTCATTCAGATTGCAATTTATGCGAGGCAGAGATGAATTATGAAAGCGATCGGATCGGCCAAGGAAAACTCGGCAGCGGCGGGAAATTCAATCAAAGTGGGAGGTAGGGAAAGAGCGAGAGAGAGAAGTTTGCCAAAAGAATTTTCGAGCGCACACGAGCTCGAGGCGACAAAAAGCGTTGCATACCAGCAGGCGCCGTCAAAATTCGAATGGCATACAAAGTCCTGAAAAACTAAACGGAAAAAATTATTACCATCCGTTTCCACTAGAAAAAAATTTCCGAAAAAAAACCAAGCAAATAAAAAAGGCAGCAGCAGCAGCAACCTCCCCGTCATAAGGCAATATGGAAAAAAATGATTCCAGGGGGGCAGAGAAAAAACAAAGACAGACGACAACTGCCAACTCAAAATTGGTACTGGAAAGAGCGAAAGAAATTTTTATATGCGAAAAGTGCAGCCCCGCGAGGAGTTGGGGGTGGTTTCGGTGGCTCAAACACCCTTGAAAAACAACTGTCAAACGCATTTCAGCGGTGCGAGAGGGTTGGGAGTCCAGCAGCAGCAGCGGCGGCGGCGGCGAAACAATAAGGGGAAAATAAAGGATATGACAGGATATGGGGCGGCATGGAGTTTTGAGTGAATGATGAGCCCAAAAACGGGGCAGAACAGGCAGCGGATAGAATGGCAACACAGAAAACGGCAAAGAGAACAAATCAAAAATTTTTGATGTGTTATTGCTTTTGCAAAAAAGGGATAAATGCAGGCAAAGAAAATGTGATATTTTTTGGTAATAAAATATATTAAATTTACTAAATAGCAAGACAAAAAATTAGTGGTATATTGTTATTTAAAAACAAATAAAGAAAGAAGTTTATTGATCAAGTAATTCAAAAATAAAACAAGCCTTTGACTTTCATATTGCAATAAATCCACTTAAAAATATGAGAATAAGATTTAAAAATTCCAATTTATATTATTTCTAATCCTGGAATGTCATATTTATTTTTCCCCTGCATAATACAAATTTAAACCTGCCTCTTTCCAATGAGAAAATCAACTTATTCCAAACATTTTGTTCTGTCATTGGCTCCACGCACGTGTCTCACAATTTTTCATGGCCTCTAAAACACACACACTCACATTTTGTGTATATATTACTTGTTTTGTTACATGACGCCAACTGTCGTCTACTATAAAAAAAAAGTACAAAAAGAAAAACAAGACGAAAGCTCAAAAGCGGGCTGAAAAAAAAAACAACACACGCAAACAACAATAAAAGTAGAGGAGAAAATATAAATAAAAAAGTTAGATTTCTTGTATATTTTTTGTAAAGCATAATAAAGACTAGCAGCAGACAGACACATGTCCTCCGAAAGGATGTATCCCCCGAACTCAAACTCAAACCAAAGCCGAGTGTCGCATTGCCGTCTGAGCCCCATAATTCATATTGGCAAAAATCTACCCAAACAATGAACATAAATTGCGAAAATATACTCAAAAATAAAATATGTAAAATAAGACCTTACGAAAAAAACTAAAGAAAAATGTAGCAAAAAAAAGCGGCTGTCCCTTGAATAAAACCTTTAAACACCGCCCATGCCCCCGGTTGACATACGGAAATCATTTCGTGTGCCAAATGAGAAATAATTTTTATTACCACAGCAAATCAAAGTGCGCACCATTTACAATTACACAAGCAAACTAAATGGGAGCGATAGAGACGGTGGCGTACCGAGAGGGCGTGATAGAGGGGGCCAGAGATCGTGCACTGATTCCGATATGAAGCTATATCTTCGAGCACGTGTATCGCCTGGCCTCTGAACTGATATTTTTTAGTGGTTCTAAACTTTGCTCGCATGTCTTCCGTCTGCTCTCCCTTGCTATCTCTCTCTCTCTGGCGAGTTACCTGTTTTGCTTTATTTTTATCTAATCAATGAAGAAATTTATATCTAATCAAAGTACAAAAGGCGGCGACGAGAACTCGCCTCGATCTAGGGGGAAAACTGAGAAACAAAAGCGCACAGCGGCGTCATCAGAGATCGTTGCTGTATTCTCACACCCCCTTCAGAGGAGGAGAAACCCCTTTTCTATGTGCTTTTTGCCAACTGTTTTTGCAGTGCAAGTCACATAATGACAAGATTATATGATCGCAAGTGCACAACTTGGTTGTGTTTGCCTGCTGGAACTCTCCATTCGCCAATACATGTATATCTGCTCTTTTTCCAGTAATTATTCAGATTGTTTTAGTGGTTTTGGCCTGGTTATCTTCACCGTATCTTGACTTCTTTTTCCCGTACATTTTTCATGAGTATTCTATCTTGGTTTCTATAACTTCCAAAACATCTGGTGATATTTTATCACCGAACTCAGCGAAGGTCACTCGGTTTCTAAGTGCATATATTCTTGTTGATAAAACATAAGGCCATACGGGGTATCTAAACACAGGAATCTCTCTTAGAGAATTACTTAAAAAAAATAAGAAAATTTAAATTTGTAGAAAAATATAAATAAAATATATCTTTTAACTTGTATTTGTTAAAAAAAAGTATGTGTTTCTTGACAGTCTACAAATTTTCTTATTCTTAAATTCTCTCCAATTCTCCACTCAACGAGTGACCACTGTAGTCTATGTTATTACCCCGCCAAATCCCCCTCATGTCTTGTTTATATTCCATCTTTTTCTATATCTCCTTCTCTCTGTCTCCCATTCGACCTAATGACCCGCTTTGCTCTGTTTACCTCCGTTCTATACTCTTCCCGCTCTACTCTCCGCAGTTGGCATTAGCTGGCGGCTCGATGCTAATTTATCGTCACAGTCTCGCGGCAATCACAGGTTCAGTTGGCTACCTGCTCCACCCCCTTGTGCCACCCCGACCATGAATCTTCTACCGATCCTGCTCTCTCCCCCGCCAATTCTCCGCACTCGATCTCTATGGCGATCTTTGTAGACTTTGCCGGCTCGGGCTTTTCGTCATGCGATTATCAGCCAATCGCTTAGTGTGCCATTTATTTGCATTTCGCTCGCTGCTGCAATTGTTGTTGCTTTTGTTACGTTTCGTTACGTTTTTTTGTTGTATTATTTATTTATGTTTCTTTTTTTTTCGTTTGTTTCTTGTTTCCAACTTTATTTGCCTTTGTGTTGTGCGCTGTGCTATGTGTGTTTGCGTTGAGCCGCTTTTGTAGATGCGCAATTATTGTGAGCGTGTTACTTTATATTTTTAATGTGCGATTTTTTGTTGGTGTTACGGTTAGGATTTTACCCTTAAAAAGGGGTTCAATTATTAAGAAACACAATTTATTTACATTTTTAGTTAGATTTTATTTAGAATATTTTATAGAATATTTTCTATGATAAATGTAGGGAAAATTACGCATACGCAGTGTTGGTCGTCGATATCTAAAAATATAGAAAATATATGAAAATTTGTGTCATTTGCAATAAATTAAATCATTTAAATATAAGATATACAAGCATCAAGCTAAAAATCACATATACCAAATATAACGTATACGCCCTGTGGTCACTTTTATATTAAATGTTCAATTAATCAATCGAATTAATAATTTTAATAAACTCAATATTATTTTATATTATTAAACAATTCAATTATATTTAAATGAGATTTTCTAGAGTATTGCCAATTTCGTCTCTCAAAACACTTTTCCATTTGATGTGTTTTCTGCTTCGCATTCGCACTGCGTTTCGCGCTCATATATGCTTCATATTGTTTATTGTCTGCCTGGCAAATATGCTTAATTATTTTTACCTTAAAAGTCGCGCCATCAAAGCGAATGCGAAAACAATTTCAATGGATTGAGTGCGAAGGGGAGGAAAAAATATAAAATGAGAAGAGGTGCGAGGAGGTGGAAACAAACCTAAGCCCTGAGCCCATTTGACATTTTCGGGCTTAAATGTCACAGCAAATCGAGGGGCAAAGCGTCGCCAGCAATGAGCGAACAAGTGCAATGGGAAATATAAGCAATGGAGAAGATGGAAAATGCAATTGCAATTGCCACAGCAACAGCAACACAGCGCACAATGAATGACGTTGACAATGACGATGATGGAGATATGGTTGGGTGGTGCACACTTGGCTGGGGTGCTAGAAGGTAGTTAGAAGCGGGCAAGAAGCGGGTGTTCCAGGGATACTGGGGTAAAATCACGAACATAAGCCTCAGGCCACCACCACCACGGGCTGACATCATCGATGGAGGAGGTCGTCGAATAATGATTCCAAGCGGGCAGAAAACCAACTCAAAATCAGAATCAACTCTCAGTTCTGTGATGTGACTAACCGTCTCACAAGATAAGAGAACCTAAAACAACAAAAAACAAAAGAACAGCTGCCAACAGAAATAGAATTAAATTCTTAGTAAACCGAAAAACTCTTGGAAAATCACAAAAAAAAATTATCAGTTGAATTTAAACTAAAATTCATCAAAAAATTTGAAATTTTTTGAAAGCTATGTTCTAAGAAAATTGATTAAAATGCTGGGAAAATAATCTAAATTAAATTTTTAGAAGAGAGATACAAATATTTTAAATATTTCCTAGATAAGCTTCACAGGAAATACTTTAATTTTCTAATAAAATGTATGCAGATTATATGTTATTTATTTTAAATATTAAGAAATATAAAGTAGAATTAAATACAATTATCTTATATTTGCTTAATTTGTCACTTTTTTATCATCAAAATTGCCTTTTAAATTCCCACTTTCTGGTTGTTGCCTTTTTGGTTTCTAACATTTCTTCTGCACAACTCGGTCTTATGAAACGGGGACAATATGCTTAACCAAGGGATAGAAAGGATTATTCCTATTTATATACTAAATCCTTGCTTTATAATCACCACGTTAAAGGTTACTTATCCGAGTTTTTGTCTCTGTTGCGACTCTTGCAGGAAAAATGATGAAATGAACCAGCAGGCGGGCTCCTCAAGGGCGCCAGCCACAGGGGGCCAAATCTCACCGCCAGGTGCCAGCACAGCCGGCGTGGATCCACAGCAGCAGCAGCAGCAACAGTTGCAGCAACAGCAGCAGCAGCAGTACTACAACCAGCAGCAGCAACACCAGTACCAGCAGCAACAGCAGCGTGACAATTTCCTGGCCTACCAACAGCAGCAGCAGCAACAGCAGCAGAGAACAGGAGGCAGTGGGGCAAACTTTATGCTGGGCAATGACCTTGTCGGCGGCGACAGCCTGCGCAGCCTGAACAACACCTTTGGACCCAATTCGGAGTTCACAGCCGGCAGCTCTAACTCGACCACATCACTGGGCGGCCTTAGCGGCGGCAGTTCCAACGGTCAGGGATATCCGGGAATGGTGGCTGCCAGTCAGCAGCATCACCAGCAGCAGCAGCAACACCACCAACAGCAACAGCACCACCAGCAGCAGTCACACATGTCCAGCATGGATGCCATGGGTGGTTACAGTCAGGTGAGGATTCGTATAGTATATGAAAATATAAAGAAACATGATCTTAAAAGATCTTGAAGCGAATTTAATCGATCTTAATCTTGATATCTTGCTTTAATGACTAATTTTCTTCTATCTTATATCTTACAGATGGGCGGCGGCATGCATCCTGGCCCTAATAGCGGCATGATGGGCAACATGAATGCCCAGTACATGAACGGCGGTTCCGGCCAAGGTGGCTATAATGGCCAAGGCATGGGCATGGGCTACGGCGGTGGAGGCAACATCGGACCCCAGAGGCATCATCAAGTGAGTAGCCAAGGGGATAATGGCGATAATGGGTTAACTGGATGATTGAATGACTTCACACACACATGTGTAGCTGGTATATAGCCAGCTGTTGACAATTCATTGGCGGCCATAAACAGATTTCGCCGCCTGGTCTGGCCCATTATCGAATCACTTTGAATCGCACCCAGAAAAAACGCAAACAGAAGTCTGCTGTGGCTTCAGAAATGACAAATTTGTGACTGCCAGCAGAGCGACAGTAATCCGCTCAAGCTCAGTAGCAGAATTATTTCCTTCAATCTGGCGATTCCCCAGTAGCTACGCGAAAACGTTGAAAAGTTTTACGCTTAATTGGTTTCTTTCTTTTTTTTTAATGGGGAATGGCATCATCTGCCAAAGCTTCCCGGGGTTTGAGTTATTCCCTAGAAATTCAGTCACAGGGGAAAGTAAGAGACTTTTCTCTTGGGACTTCAACTTATTCTAATTATCTCTTTTTGAGAGCTCGATTTTCTTGGAATTTTTATGTGAGATATTTTTGTAATTTTTAATATTCAAAGAATTTATAGTACTTTATATTTCCTGATAATTTTTGAGCTGACAATTTCCAAGATCTATTTATATTTCTTAAAATTCTTTTAAAATAAGATTACAGCTTTTAAGTGCGCAGTTTCACTTTGCTGAGAGCACATTAAGTTTGATCAAAGTACAAGCTCTAAAAAAATGCCCAAGATATGGAATAACCAAGAACTGACTTTATAGTGGGGAATCCCCCTTGAAAAATTTAATCTAAATCTCAAATTTCCCTTACAGATGACGCCCATGAATCAGATGCAAAACATGTCAATGGGCCCCGGTGTGGGTGGCTCCAATGGCATGGGCATGAATCCCATGCAACAGCAGGCAGCGCAGCAGCAGATGGGCGGCATGAATCCAATGGCCAAGATGCAGGGCATGGCCAACGGTGGCTACCCACAGCAGGCGCCTCCTTCGCTCACAGCCCAGCAGCAACAGCAACAGCAGCAGCAACAGCAGCAGCGTCGCATGGCTCCGTATCCGCATCCGCAGATGCACATGGCCCAGAAGCGGGCAGCGGCGGCGGCGGGCGGAGCAGGCGGCGTGGGCGTTGGCGGCATGTATCCCGGCAATCCCATGCAGCAGCAACAGCAGGCGCAGATGTACGGCAACCAGCAGATGCATCCCGGCGCAGGCGGAGGAGTTCCCCTGCCCATGCAGGCGGGTGGAGCTGGCAACGGCTATGGCGGACGTGGCGGACCCATGGGCGCCGGCAACGGTGGCTATGGTCGCATGTCGGCCGGCAATGGAATGGGTCCAAACGGTGGTCCCGTCATGGGACCCATGGGTCCCGGCGGCATGACAGCCGGCGGCATGGGTCCCGGTCCTGCTGGCTGCATGAGCCAGCAGCGCTTCATGCCCCAGGCATCCGGCGGTGGCGGCGGTATGCCCGGAGTGGGCTACGGCGGTGCCGGCGGACCCGGCTCGCATCAGGGTCAGTTTTATCCCGGCAGTGGAGGTCAAGGCGGCGGCATGCAGCAGGCAGGTGGCATGTGCCCGGCGGGTCCGGGCGGCGTGGCCACCACCGGCAATCCCTACCAGAATCAAGGGTGAGTTTGATTATCTCAAGGATTATAAGGGAATAGTAATTAATGGTATTTCTTTTATAGTTTCCAGCAAAACTATCAGCACAGTCCAGTTCCTGGCAATCCCACGCCACCGCTGACACCCGCCTGCAGTGTGCCCTATGTCAGCCCCAATCCGGACATTAAGCCACCCATGGACAACAGTGAGTTTCAAAATGTTTTAGAAATTTTAAAATTGTAATTAACTTTTTGTATTTTTCTTTAAAGGCGAAGAAATGAGACTGACATTCCCGGTGCGCGACGGCATCATCCTGGCTCCTTTCCGCCTGCTGCACAATCTCTCGGTCAGCAATCACGTGTTCCATCTCAAGCAGAATGTCTACAACACGCTCATGTGCCGGTAGGTCTTAAAGAATAAACTTTTCTTTAAGCTTTTCCCTTAATTACATATATTTTTCATAATTTTCAGAACCGATTTGGAGCTGCAGTTAAAGTGCTTCCACCAGGATGACCGGCAGATGAACACCAACTGGCCGCACACGGTCACCGTCTCCGCGAATGCCACGCCCCTGAATATCGAGCGGTCCGAGAAGAACAGCACCGCCCTGCGTCCCCTCTACTTGAAGGCCGTTTGCCAGCCGGGCAGGAATACGCTTCAGTTGACCGCCAGTTCCTGCTGTTGTGTAAGTAGCTTTTAAAATTAATGTTTCCTAGAATTATTTATTAATTAAATATATTCTCTCTCTTCCCAACAGTCACACCTGTTCGTGCTGCAGCTAGTCCATCGACCATCGGTGCGCCAGGTGCTCCAGACGCTGCACAAGCGCAACCTGTTGCCTCTGGAGCACAGCGTGCAGAAGATCAAGCGCAACCTGAGCTTGCCCAGCGAGGGCCAGACACCTGGATCGGATGCGGCAAGCCAGCAGAATGGTGGGCAGCAGTGCGCCAAGATCTCATTGAAGTGCCCCATCACCAAGTCTCGAATACGACTCCCGGCCAGGGGACATGAGTGCAAGCACGTTCAGTGCTTCGACCTGGAGGCGTATCTGATGATTAACAGCGAGCGCGGCTCTTGGCGGTGTCCCGAGTGCAGCAAGTCGGCCATCACCGACACGCTGGAAATCGATCAGTACATCTGGGCCATACTCAATACGCTGAGCAACTCGGACGTGGACGAGGTGATCATCGATTCCTCGGCCAACTGGCGGGCGTTGCAGCATAATGGCGGCATGCCCAATGCCCCGCCCCCCTCGAATGTTCCTAGCAGCAATCCCAGCGGCAGCAATCCGAATCCCAATGGAAGCGGCGGTGGCCCCAGCTCCGGCATGCCGCCCAGCATCAAGCAGGAACTGTGCGACGATATTGCCAAGTCGGAGGTCATGTCGCCGGGCTCCACGCAGCTGCCCACTTGGGACAGCGCGCAGGCGATGAGTCCCTACAACATGCACGACATGAACTCCATTGCCAGCGGCAATATGATGGGCAACGGTGGCAACAACAGCCAGCAGTAAGTATCCTTTATAGAGGAGATTTTTTTTTAAATATTTTATTAATTTATTTATTTAATTTCCAGTGGCAATCGCAGCAGCTATGATGGCTTCAGTGGCAACCACAGCGACGGCAGCGGCGGCTTGGCCGGCAACGATGGCGGCGTCAATTCCCTAGATCAGCTTAATGCCATGGAAAAGTCGCTCAGCGATCAGGTAAGACTCTCAAGAAAATTCTTGTTCTTTGAGAGAAACTAAAGCATATATATTTTTCTCACCTATAGATGCCCCACACTCCGCACACTCCTGGTGCAGCCAGCCATCCAATGACACCTGGCGGACCGCCCAGTGTCAGCAGCTCCCACAATGAACCCATCAGTGGGGGCACGCCCAATGCCAATGGCAGCAGCAATGGCACCAGCAATAATAATAATAACAATAGCAGCAGCACAGGCCACAATTCGCCACAGACACCGGGCACGCCCAATCGCATGGGCGGGGGCATGTCGAGCGGAGGAGGAGCAGCAGATAGCCAGCAGCAGCAGCAGGAGCAGCTGCTCAACTCGCTGATGAGCAGCCAAACGCAGCTGAAGTTTAGTGAAAGTGATCTGAGCGCCGAGCTTCAGAGTTTCGATGCGGCGGCAGCGGGAATAAATGATACGGCACACGATGTAAGTATTAAAAAAAAATTACGAAAAATATATTTAAGAAATTAAGAAATAAATTTTAATAAAATTGGAAGATTTTCATTAGTTTTTATAATTATTTTCTGATTTATAAAGAATTATTTTATTATATTTTATTTATGTTTTTGAGTTTATATAATTATTTTATATAAAAATATTAATTTATCTTATTTATAAAGAATTATTTTTCCTTTTTATTTATTTTTAAAATTTTAGAATTATTTTCTGATTTATAAAAAATTAATTTTCCATTTTTATTTATTTTTTAAAATTATTTTGTATTCACAAATCCCTTTAATTTGTATATTTTTAAGTTTTTATAATTAATTTTTTATACAAATATTAATTTATCAGATTTAAAAACATTTCTTTTAGCTTTTTAATTTATTTTTTTAAATTAGTTTCTATAAATTTTATCCACAAATCCCTTTAATTTGTATTAATAAAATCCCTTCTATCTCTTTTAGCTGCTGCAGGATGTGGATCCCATGGAAATCCTATCCTATCTGGATCCCCAGCCCGATCTTAACACGCCACCCTCTAGTGGCAGCAGCAACAACAATGCCAGCGACGACTTGCTGGCCACGTTATTTGACTAAGCCCCCTACAAAAAATTATTAAAAAATGGGCTTCGACATGCTGACAGAGAGAGAGAGAGAGATGATGGATAATTGAAAAATGGCAGAAATACCATAAATTGTATATAGTATTATTAATTTTAATGAAATGTGCACTAGAAGAAAGTTGCGTACTTCAACAAAAACAACATTTTCGTTTCCTCACACAAAACCAACAGCAGCAGCAAAAACAACAACAAAAATACACACAAAAAAAAGGAAGAAAACTATTACAATAACAACACAGAAGGAAGATGAAAAATCGAAGCGGAAATTTAAATTTGCCCGTGTTGAAAAACAATGAAATGTGATTTAAAAATTAATTAATTAAATTAATTGGCATTTAATTTAAAGCTAACTAAAAAAAACCCACAAAAATCGAAAAAAAAAACATAAATACATAGAGAAAGCGTAAAAAAATAACAAAATCAGTCATTATACCATATAAAAAATATTAAAGAAATCAAACAATTCAGTTGAGAGCATAAAAAATTCCTTCAATGAAATTTACGAATTTAAATGTGTAATTTCCGATGCAGTTCGTTACATTTTCTGTTTCTTTTTCATTTTGTTTTTTCTTAATTTGTTTTTTTATTTGCAAAATGTTTCCTGGCCTCAGTTTACAAAGTATTACAAATATTTAAAAAAACGAAAAACAAAAAAAGCATTGAGCAAAGGAACAAAAATAAAAGCGCAAAAAATGAGAAATACAAAACAAAAAACAAAAAAATACATACAAGTGAAATCCCAACAATTTTATTACATTTATAAAATGAAAACATTTACATTTTAATTGTTGCATAATTTTAATTATTTTTTAAAGCCTATCTACATATAAAGATAAACGGATTAAAACGAAATTTAACAGAAAAAACATTAAGAATTATTAACTATAATGAACAGAACCGTAAATGTGTACAATTAAGTGACAAAAGTAACGCAAGAAAAACTGCATAATTAGAGGAGGAGAAACAAACAAACTATTAAAAGTGTAAATCAAATTTAATGCTAGATCTTAAATATATTGTATATATGGATATGTATGTTATATATGCGGCAACAAGAACACACCCCCTCCCCCAACACACACACACACACACACACAAAGCTAATTAATACATTTAAATACTGATAATAATAAATGAGAAAAAAAAAACAAAAAGTATTTCAAAACTAAAATTAAAGCGTTATGTTTTCTTTGAGTTTTACTTTTTAACCCCCCACACAGTTTCTTTGATTTTGTCCAGAATTTTCCCTTTCAGTTTGGCCTTACCATATGTTTTTCGTACGATGTGGTTAACATGGACCAATTTTTATATACAAAAAAATATGTAACACCCACACACCGACGAGTCTTTGAATAGAGTATATACTATATATAAAGGACAAAATATATATGATATGATATTCAAATATAGCGAAATTTTTAAGCTTTGCCCAGGCTAATTCCCAGTTCAGCGCTTGAAACAAAAACTAAAAAAAAAATGAAAACGAAAAAAAAACAAGACAAATTTACGCAAAAATCGCCTCGATGTGGTAGTTAAATGAATCTCAATCTCTTCTCAATGTTATCAAAGGACACACACGTAATTAAATTATATTATATTAACACCTACATATATGGATATATATATATATATCGAAAATGAGGAAAAGAAAACAAAATTCGTAGTGGTTTCATTGTAAAACAATATTTCATAAAAAAAAACGATTAACGAACAATTTAGCTTCAAGATTTCGACAATTTCCAGTTCGATATCTTCTCTCGCTTAAATGAAAAGAAAACGACGCGATACACGATACACGATTAACGATTAACAAGTAACGAGTAACAATTTAACGATTAACAAAATATCGATAGGCAGTTGGGATGCGCAAATGTGATTTTATTCAAAATAAAATACACATAACCAAGATTACAATTAATGAATGATTTTTATTTGGATTTGCGGGATCGATCGATCGGATCAAGGAAGAGAGAGAGAGTTGTACATACGAGTATTTAACTAACGTAATATTTATGAATGAACAATATATATCGGAATAAATATATATATATATATGTTTAAATTTAGTCGATAAGCTGTACTTTTAAAAGATGGAACAAAAGCAAATACACATTAAATAATATGAAGAGAAATAAACCCAAACGTAGTGAGTGCATTTTCAATTCCAGCGGCTCTTCTTGGCCCTCTTGGCGTCCTGGGCGCTGGTTGAGGCGGATGAGGACGAGGAGGAGGAGGAAGCACCCTGCGTGGACGTTGGTGGTGGCGCCATTGGTGCCGCAAATACTCCAGCCTCGGGCAGCGTCTTCTCCCAGGTCCGATCGCTGGAAGCCCTGAACTGGTTGTTGTACTGCGACCGGAATGCCTCCCGCATGGCCGCATACCGATCGGTGGCTGGTCCCGCGTTGGCAGCCGACTTGGACGCAGGTCCCTCTGAGGTACTCCTACTGGGTGACTTGGCTCCAGAACCCGTCCCAGAACTAGCTTCAGCTCCCGCTCCCCTTCCATTGCCCCGCTCTCGCTCCCGATAACCCAAGCCGGTGTGAGTATTGGTGGGTTTCCTTCCTTTGCCCTGCTTGAAACGGGAGCTCCGGAACCAGGAACTCTTCATGGCCAGCTCCATTAGATCGTCCGGCACCTCCTGGTCCGCACCCTCCAGATTCCGCACCAAATGACCCGCGAACTCCTTGTCCTTGTCGGTGACTAGCGTGAAGGCATTGCCCTTCTCCCCGGCTCTTCCTGTCCTGCCAATACGGTGAGTGTGCGTATCAATATCCCGGGCAATATCGTAGTTCACCACATTCCGGATGTGTGGAATGTCCAGGCCTCGAGCCGCCACATCGGTGGCCACCAGGATGTCGCATTCCTTGCGCTTGAACTGCATTATAACCTTGTTCCTGTCCGCCTGATCCATGTCGCCGTGGAGCAGCAGGCAGTTGTATTCCTTCACCAACAGGTTGCTTGCCACCGTTTCGGCATCGGCCTTTTTGGTCACAAAAATAAGGACACTGCCCTCCGAAAGGAACTTCACCAGGTGGCACAACAGCCAGTTCCACTTCTGCAGCGGATTGGGGAAGACAAAGACAGACTGTGTGATGTCCTGGTTGGCTTCGTTCAGGTCGCCCTGGACAATGCGCACGGGATCGGAGAGCACATCCCGGGCCAGGCGTTCGATGCGCTTCTTGAAGGTCGCCGAGAAGAGCAGGGTCTGTCGATCCGGTCGGACGTGGTTGCAAATGGAGCGCACCTGCGGCTCAAAGCCCATGTGGAACATCCGATCGGCTTCGTCTAGGACCAGGAACGTCACTCGCCTCAGATTGGTGGCCTTCATCTTAACCATATCGATCATGCGACCGGGCGTGGCCACTATGATCTCTGCTCCCTGCTCCAGAGCCTTGCTCTGTTCCCACTTCGACCCGCCGCCGTAGCAGCAAACCACATTCAGGTTGTACACCTTGCCGAACTTCTTCGCCTCGTTGTAGATCTGCAGGGAGAGCTCCCTGGTCGGGGCCAAGATCAAACCGATGGGACCGTCGCCAGGTTTAAGCTCCCGCTGGTCCATCAGGTGCATTAGCAGGGGCCAAATGAAGGCAGCCGTCTTGCCGGAGCCAGTCTTGGCTATCCCAATGATATCCCTGCCGGACAGGGCTGTGGGCACCGCCTGCGCCTGGATGGGCGTGGGCTGTGTGTACTCCGCCTTGCGCACGGCCTTGATCAGGGCATCGTCGAAGCCAAAGTGGCCAAAGGAGGTTACTGGCTTGGGTGGCGACGGTCCAGTCACCTTGACGCCCAGCGTGCGCCGCAGTTCCCTGACCTGATCCTCGTCGAGAGCCGCTATGTCCTCGTGCTGCGTGTAGAAGTTCTTCTCGAAGGGCTCGTACTCGATCTCAGAGTGATAGATGGGCGGCAGCGGGTCAATATCCTTCTTCTTGGGCGGCGCTATCGGGTTGCCATCCTCGTCGTACTCCACCTCCTGGTCGGAGCCATCGTCCCGCAGGCCGGCTGTTGGATTCTCTTTCATGTAGCGATAGTAGCTCTCCTCGTCGTCCTCGTCATCGATGTCGCCGCGTATCGCCTGCGTCTGGGGCTTGGGCTGCTGCTGACGCTTCTCCTTCTCCACCTGCTGATTGATGCCGGCCATGAACTGCTCCAGCGGATCCTCATCAGAATCAGAGTCCTGCTTGGAAGAAGATGCAGCCGCCGCCGATGAAGGAGGAGCTCCCGGCGAGCCTGGTGCCGGTATATAGGCCTGCTCCAGGTCCCGATGCTGCTGGGCGGGTTCGTCGTCGTCGTCGAAGTAATCGTCGTCCGTATGCTGTTTCCGTTTCCCCACAAAGTTGGTGGCGTTTGTATATTGACTGATGGAGTCCAGCGTTGAATAGCCGTGCTTGGAAGTGGCGCTGGTGCTGCTTCCTCCACGGGAACCAGCGCCGGCGGCGGACAAGGATGCGCTGCCGCCGCCCCGGCCGACATAGCCGCGAGCATTCAACATCGGGGGCGGGGGCACGGCGTTCATATTGTTGCCGGAACTAGCTGGCTTGCGGTACGGGAATCCACCGCCGCCCATGCCTCGGTAGCCGCTCATTGTGCTCCAATTCTGTTTGTTTTTCCACAGTTTCAAAAATTCAATCACAAATCAATAGTTAAAGTGACCGTAGAGGATGCTGGTGCAAAATGACAAATTTTCTCAGGGAATATTTTTATAGCACGATCTGTTTGCTTTTGATTAAGTAATTTTTTATATTGCAGGACATTGCATATTTTATGGTTTTTAGTTATTTTTTTGGGTAATATAATTGTATTCTTATATAGCATGCATTTATTTGTAATATTTAACTTTTTATAGCAAGAATTAAACAGTGAAACAGAGTGACCAGGCTTGCCTACCTTCACTTTCCCTAAACTTTTTACCAGCTGGTCATACTGCTTCAAATAAAAATAAATATAAACAAATTCAAGAAATGTCCGTAAATCTGAATAATGTATCGCAGGATTATGCCAAAATCATTCAGAGCGCCGATCTGGACAAGGAGATAAACCCGCTGTGCACCAATATAGACGATATGCTGGCCAGACTCGATGAATTCGAAACTTTGTTGTCTTCGGTGGGCATTCCATTCGTTCATTCAATTGTTTTTTACAATAATTCATCATTTTCAGGTGCGTGCCGAGTCCAATGGCATGATGGCCAACAATGTGTGCAGCATCTTGGGCTTCAGCGACAGCTTCGACCAATTGCGCACACGGATCGATGGCCTGGAGCAGTTTGTGGCCGCTGTGAGTGCCAACCTAAGCGAAGTTGAGAGATCGGTGGACATGGCGGAGGAGGAGCTGCATGTGACGGATTACAGCATCAAGGGACTGCTACTAAAACCCCTCAAAGCTAAGCTGACTGCTGCCGATCCCCTGAACTCCGCCTCGCAGCCCCGCTCCAATCTGGTGGACGGCGAATATCAACCTTTTGAGGTTTACAAATCTGATGATTACTTTGGAGCAGCGCAAAAGGAGGAGGAACCAGTGGCGGAGGTGTTGGTTACACCCTCGTCTAGCTAACATCGTAAATATTTATTTGGTAAATAGAAAATAAAGTCGTTAATTAATATGTTTAGTGCCTGGCACAGAGAGCAAACAATCTGGAGATCGTTTTAGAAGGTAGAGAAGCCTCATAAGTTTTCATAAATATTTGCTTAATAATAATGTTAACAAGAAAGTGTGGTTTTTGGAAGAATTTCTATATTATCTATTGGATTTTTTGCAAAGTTTAATATTAAAAACACAAGAAAATAAATTGAATAACATTCTAAATAAGAATTTTCCATGAAGTTAACATAGAATTATAAAATATATATTTTTTAGTCAAACTTTGAAATAAAATAAAATAAAAACCTCAATTTGACTTTCCTTAATAACAATTTCCTATCATCTTTTCTCTCAATTGATTTATTCATCTATTCCTCCATCTCCATAGGGCATCTTAATAAAGTTTCTGTAAATATTTGTGTACTTTTTGAATTACTTAAAAATACAGCTAGTTAACTTGAAGCGCTAATTGTAATAATTAGGGAAGGCTTAATGGAAAAACCCCTAGAAAAATCCCTCGTGATATATTATTCCTTTTTTTTTTTTCGTTGTTTTGTTAACTTTGGAACACTACTTAAGTCCCATAGTTGTCTCTTAACTTTCTAAAAGTCATAAATATTTAGTGATGAATTAGCAAAACAAAGCTTACGTGAGACAATATAAATATTTTTTATTTTACGATTTTTATAAATCGATTATTAATTATCTAATTACTAACTTCACGGTTATAAAAACTTTAAAGTGCTGAACTTGATGTTAAATAACATTAAAAGGGGTTTTTAATTAATAAAAACCAACATGATAATAAAGAAAAGATAATAATAATTCGTATTTCGTCAATTTATAGAAAAATCAGGTAGATCTAGGAAAATCTGCAAAAAAAACTATGTCTGCTTGACTAAAATAAATCCATTCTTAACAGCTTCCTTTCTTGATTTTCTCTAATTTTCTTTTGAAATGCCCCATAAATAATTCCCCCTTATTTATTGATTAATTATCAAACTAAAGTTGCTTATGTAAGTGTGTAAATATTATTGTTTATTTATTTTTTTCGTTCATTTTCGATGACTAAAAATCTCGTGATGGTCCAATTAACGACTTTTAAAGTTTAGGCCTTGACTTTCTCCTTGCTCTCCTTGCTTTCTTCGGAGCTGGAAGTGGACTTTTCGTCGTGCTTCTGGTGCAAGAGCACATCCACTGGCACCGGGCGCTTGAAGTGGGGAGCTGAGGGCGTGGTGCTGCCGCCCTCTGACTTGGTGGTGCCTGCCGGCTCGGCGGTGGCCTTCGTCTGAGTGGGCACCGGGATATCGCGCTTCTCCTGCTTCTTGGTCAAGTCCGAGACGGGATGCAGACCCGAAAGAGCTTTCACAACGTCGTGAACGTCAGCAGTTCCAACCTTGGCTTCCTTGGCATGATCACTGTCGGGCTTCTCCTGGGTCTCACGCTTCTCCTGCTTCTTGGCCAGATCAACGGCGGGTGCAGCGGCTGGCAGAGCATGGGGCACTGGCAAATCCTCCTTCTGAGGCTGCTCCTGGTGTCCCTCCTCATGGTGAGCCTCTCGCTTGGCCTTCTTCTCAGCAGGATGCTCTTCTGTGGGGGGCTTAACGCTGTCTGCCTGCAAGGTAGCTGGATGCTCAATATGAGCCAGGGAATCCTTGGTCTTTACGCTATCGGGCTTCTCCTCGGTTTCACGCTTCTCCTTCTTGGCCAGCTCAACGGCAGGAGCGGCGGTTGGCAAGGTTTGGGCCACTGGCAACTCCTCTTTCTGAGGCTGTTCCTCATGACCCGGCTCGTGGTGAGCTTCCCGCTTGTGAGGATTGTGTCCTTCGTGAGCCTTCACACTATCGGGCTTGACGGGAGCTGCCTGCACACTATGGGGCTTTGGCGGTTCCACCGGCTGGCGATGGGGATTGTGCTGCAATCCTTCACGAGCCTTCACACTGTCAGGCTTCTTATGCTCATCGCGCTTCTGGCGATTCAAAGGGCTATCCCTCAGCAGAACGACCTTGCCCTCGGTGGGCTTGGGCTCACTGATCACATCGGGACTGATGGGACCCACGCCCACAGTGGAGGTTTCAGGAGTAGACGACTCTTTGGTATCCAGGGGAGCTGCCTGGCAGAAGGCCACCAAGGCCAGAAGAATAATCTGGAAATAAGAGTAAATAATGAATACAAATAAATAAATGAGAGATAAGGGATCTTTATGCGTCTACTTACAACCGACTTCATATCCTTTCCTCTACAGATGTTAACCGCTTGGTAATTTAACCCAAACTGCTGCTTCCAACGACGAAGCAAACCCATTTTATGCGATCTCCAACCAAGAGGCATCTCTCCGCCGGTCGGCTGTTAACCAGTTTGTAATTCGGTGCTAATTGCCAATAGATGCACGCCAAGTGCGCCGGAAACCCGTTCGCTATGTAAATACGGCTTTTCCACGTTGTTACTCACAAGTCGCCGGTTAATTATAAGTCGAGGAAATCGACGTCAAGTGCGCCGGCTTCTCAAAAAAAATATATGATATTTATATATAGAAGTAATAAATGAAATGAGAGCGCGGTCAGCGAAATGGGCTCAAGGCTTAGTCAGAGCCAAGCACGGATCCCCAGATAGTGTCGTCTAGTTAGCACCGGGTTGCAAAGAAGCAAACGGATCAGGCGGGGGATGGACTAAAACTTAACTTGAGTCAACTATCTGAACGTTGAGGTAGCTAATTTGAAGAGCACATAAATATGGATCGTCCGAGACGTCTGTAATTACGCCCTTTTACGTAAGCGAACACCGAGGAGACATGTCAATTTGCCGGTGATTTTTTCCTGTAAATCTGTGCTTCCCTCGCGCGACAATTTGATTGATCTGGATTCTACAGAAATTGCTTTGATTTAATAACAAATCAAAATTCAAATCAAATGTGTCTGTACAAGGCATTAACAATTTATTGTATGCTTAATTTGTTAACGATTCGTTTGAAAATGCAACTTAGATATAGCAGCCACTTGGGGTTTACATGCACCTCTGTTGTGATTTATACTTAAAACCTGCAAAAGTATACATGAATTATCTTGTTTTACAATTAATTAGCGCTAATATGCTAAAAATCGTTTAAATAATTGATTTTGAATCAATTTTAAATTTGCACAACGCGCTTAAAAGTGTGGCCATGCCTTCACAAAAAGAGTGGTCATATTAAGTATATTATTTTTTTTTGGGCAGACACATTGTTTCAGTTTATTTTCCTTCAATTTCCATAAAAAACGTGAAAACAAAGTAAATACGAAGTAAACAAAGCAAAATGCCCACAGAAATTGAGAATATAAACCCAAATGTCTATGATAAGATCAAGGAAAGAGTGCTAACGGCCAATGATGAGGACGAAAACGTGTCGGATCCCTTTGACAAAAGGGAGATTTTCGGTGAGTTCATCAAAGAAGAGTTAAAGAAATTGACATTAAAAGAGGTTATTCTCAGATCTCATAAGGAACATCAATGACCCTGAGCATCCGCTGACCCTGGAGCAGCTACATGTGGTGCAGGAAGAGCTCATCCGCATCAACGATGCCCAGAATTCCGTGCACATTAGCTTCACCCCCACGATTCCCCACTGCTCGATGGCCACGCTAATTGGCTTGTCCATTCGGGTGAAGCTGCTCCGTTCGTTGCCGCCGCGCTTCAAGGTCACCGTGGAAATAACGCCCGGAACACATGCCTCCGAGCAGGCGGTGAATAAGCAGCTGGCGGACAAGGAACGAGTGGCGGCCGCCCTGGAGAACAAGCACCTGGCCGAGGTGATCAACCAGTGCATCTCTGCGAGTGGTTGATTGATTAATAGCTTTATCCTCTATCACTTGTTGAGTTTAGTAATAATAATCTATGATTTTATAGAGATTTAAAAAGAGTTGTTTTGGGATTTAGTTGGATGTTTAGTAAGTTAAGCTTGTATTCGATGTACTTGATGCTAATTAATTGATATTTCTAAAGCTTTCCACCTTGATGTGTCTTGCGCTTTGTTTCTCTAACAATAATATAGATTTTATAGAGTTAGTTGTAAGCAAACTGCCAAGAATTACAGATATTACAAGCTGTTTAACTAAATTATTAGCTTATCTATTTTTAACTCTCCAAAGATTGCAGGGATGATCAGCTTTCCGAGACGCCTGTTTAATAGATTTTCCATCATTTGTGGTATTTACAAAAGTCGTTAGATTATTCTCCATTGAAGTGACTTCCTTGGTTTATCTTATCTCAAGTAATAACCTTCAATTTATGGCCAATAACATTTCTATATCCTAAAACAAACTTATCTTCTACCAATATTACATTTTCCCACCCGAATCTAACATCAATCACCCAGTTTTGGTTTTTTAAATTTTATATATTTTTTTAGCAGCAAAACTTTCAAAGTTTACAGGGGGTTTACTATGGGCTAAATGGGTTAAGTTAACGTAACAGGACACAGCTCCGGCGGTCAAACACTATCGCTGCTCATTGGGCGGCTCCTTTAAACGCATGTGCGGCTCCGCGGTAGCGGTCTTTGTGATCTTGGTGGGATCGTATTTGAAGGTCTTGACCAGCGGACCCTTGCCCGCCTTGGCAAACCTGATCTCGTCCAGGCGTTGCCGTTCCTCGATCTCCTTGGTGATCTTCATGTTGTCCCAGGCTGGAAAATAAATTGAAATGATAAATATTTCTGTTGCACTCCTCCACTTTTCCCCCTGATACTTACACTCCTTCATGCCACCAACGAATCCCTTCTTTGGAGGCAGGGCGCTTGGCTTGTGCGTCTGCATCTTCTCAATCTTGAAGTAATCCCGCACAGAGGGTATCCGCAGCAGAGCCACCTGACCTAGCGATATAAAGTTACTGCAGGCCCAGTAGGTCAGGATGGCGGCGGGGAAGTTCATCGTAAAGGGAAAGATGACGATGGGCAGGGCTCTCAGGACATACTTCATGGTGTTCATGTTGGCGGCGGATAAGCGCGCCGAATCCGTGCCGATTTCAATGGTCAGGTACAGCGTGGCACTGGTGATCATGGGCAGTAGGTAGTAGGGATCCGCCAGCGTCAGATCGGTGAACCAGAAGAGGCCTCCGTCACGCATAGAGTCCACCGGCGTATTGGCCATCTGTCGCAGGCCCATGAAGAAGCTGATGAAGAGCGGCGCCTGAGCCAATGGCACTACCATGTTCTTCAGAGGATTGACGCCCTTTTCCTTCATGAACAGCATCATTTCCTGGGCATAACGCGCCGATTCGATGGCATTGCCCGACTGCCTGGCCTCGGTCATCTTCAGCTGGAGCATCTGCATCTGCGGCATATTGTTGTTCATCTTGGCCGAGTTCCGTTGCGCCACGATGACCAGCGGGAAGATAATAGTGCGCACCACAAGGGTTCCGATGGCGATGGCTCCCCACCAGGGCAGGTCCCAGGTGCAGTGCAGGAACTCCATGCAGTTCTGGACAATGCCAATTGGCGACCAGCCGCCCAATCCTATCGAGGCGAAGGTGGGCTCTCCCGCCGCATTGACCGCCTCCATAACGTCGATTCCATTTGTGCCCAGGACAGGGGGCGTCGGGGCCGCTGGTATGTCGGGAAGGTCAACCAGTTTCGTGGTGGATACAGCCTGCATGAATTCCCCGCCGGGTGCTGTGTTAACTCCCGCTGCTGCTGCAGCTGCTCCTCCGCTGGCAAAGCGCAACTGGTGGGGATTCAGCCATTTCCCACTGACTGCCAGCGGCAGGGGGCTGCCACGAATGAACCTCTGCTGGTGGAGATCTCTTCTGCCCACGCTGGAGTTCTGTAATTTAAAGTTTTCATTGAATTTTGCTTGAATTTTTCGGTGGAAACATTGCCCACTTGCAGGTTATGTCACAGATAACCGGCTGATATTCTCCACTTCCAGCTTACCTGTGCGGCCCAACGGCCAGTGATGGATTGAAGGGCCACCGCCGTGTTGGTCGTCCTCCATAGCTGCATCCTGTGGGCCAGCATCCTGGTCGAAATTTGGTAAAATCAAGTGTTTTAATTTTATAGTTCAATGTTGCTCGAACATTGGTGTTGCCAGTCTAGCTTGTTTCAGGCTAGCTAGATCTAGCTTATTTTAAATTGGGAAAGCTTTAAAAATTTGCCACAGGCTTATAGGCTTAAAAATATTAATTTTTATGAAACATATTCTAGCAATAAATGCATTCGTGACATCAACATTTTATTTTATAAGAAAACAAGTTTATTTTACTTCTTTTTCTCGGAATCTAGCCAGCTCAAGGGCTCATCACTGGCAATACTGAAATTTCTATCAATTATCGATGTTGAAAGGATAAATCGATTGGTATTGGCGTTGCCATCCTGATGAAAACTTGTCGAAAAAGCCCCCTATCGGAAACTAAAGGAACTCATTAAAACCGTTAGGATTTGAAGTTTAAGCTTTGATTTGGAAATTAAGTTAGGAACACTTCTATTAAAGTTAAGGCAGATTCCTTAAAAATTTCCATATTATTATTTTGTCTAGTATTTTAGTTTTTTTTAAGCCAGGAAAAAACTAGCATAGAAAAGCTTTCCGAATTGAATTGTATGCTTTTTTGGCTTAGTTATGATCTATTTCTTATTCGATTCCATGATCCTTTGGCAAACTGCAAAGGTATACAAATTATGGCTTCTCGAAGTTAGTTTCCTTTGTAGCTAACTCTTAAAGTGTTTTTCTTAGATTAAAATATATATTCTTATAACCGTTAAAAGTATTTATTGAGTTAAATATATAAATAAATAAAGCTTACTTTTCCATTTTGCAATTCTACACAGCTTGGTAAGTATGTCCACAGAAGTCGTCTTTTAAGAATTTAACTTTCCTACAATTTTGTATGGGTTTGAAATATAATTCGAATACCGATATACATAAGTGACAACTAATAAAAAGTCTGCTGAATTCTAACCCTAAATATTATAATTTTTGAACTCTTAAATGTCCCTATATTTTTTTTAACGTACTATCTTGATTAATGATCGTTTAATCTTAAAACCACACAATTTTACACATTCTTAACTGCATTTTTAACAAATTTAAACCAATGTTAATTTTATATACAACTTCTCGTTTTATTTAATCTCCTCGAAAATATACATATTTACAATTCTTAGTAAAGCTTCAAAAGGCGTTTACAGCTTATCCAGTCACCTCCACTTAACCGCGGTGATAGGCGGGCTCAACGTACTGGGGATGAGTGCGGATGTACTCCAGGGACTTCAGGATGGCAGCTGGGATTGGGGGAGGAGTGGGCAGCAGGGCACCCTGGGGCTGGAAGCCGTTCTCGTCAGCAACATACTGGATCTGGACCAGCTCTCCCTCGGGCGAATAATAGGAGTATCCACCGTTGGCCTGGTAGCCTCCGAGGCCGGACTCCTGGGCGGCAATGCCGTTGCTGGTCTCATAGGCGTAGTTATAGTGGCCATCGGGCTGGATGTCAGCAGCGCTCTTGGTGATGTAGGCACCAGCATCCTGGTTGTAGTTGGAGGCAGCATAGGCGCAGGCCAGGAAGGCGGAGGCGACGAGCAACTGGTGAATCAAAGGGTATATTATCAATTAGCTGAGGATATTTGTATTTATTCTTTGTAGTTAGTAGACATCAATTAACACTTTAGCACAATTTTATCTATTTATAATTTTATCTCCTTATCACAGGATCTTTTTTTACTTGAAAAATATATCCTTTTTGACTTACGTAGCGGAACATCTTGGCTTGATTGAAGACGGACTCTGAGTGACGACTCTTTTGCAGTTTGCCAAAGTTTTTATACGAATTCTCGTGTTAATGAAACCCGATCCATCAAACCACTTTAAGACAGGGCCGTTAAACATGAATTTTAAAGGATAGCCAATGCACAAGGAATATTAAACTAAAATAAATTTAAATAAGAATAGATTTGGTAGTTTTTATTAGCGAGGTGTTAAGTTTAAAATACTACCAAAATTATGCATGCTTTCTTAATAAGTAATTAAAAATGGACCCCATAAATAAAAAGCTACTTAAATTTGTTTGTGAAAACTTCAATAATAATTAATTCCACAATTTGCTGTTTAGGCTATAAAAATATTTAGACGTTTTATGACAGACTTCCCGGAAGGCCAACGGGTTAGTGGCTGCGCACGTTGGAAAATGCTAAAAGTCAATGCGACATATTTGGCAATATTTAAATGTATCGGTTTAAGTTTCAGTTTCAGTGAAATTAATATGCACACGATTTCGGTCCAATTAATTTGAATTTAATTTAAAACACTCTTGGATAAAGTCTTCATGTTTGGACACATGCCAACCTTTTAGAGCAGTTAATTTTGTGAATATATTTTAGTTGAGTTGCCAATGCAACAACGAGTCTATATTTGTTGGGATTATAGTGAAGTTTGGATACTTTTATGAAATAAATATAAGGTTTTAGTAATTTGAATATTTGCTCTTAGTTTGAGAGCTATTTAAGGGTAAATAATTTATCATAAACTGAGCTTAGATAATCTAAAAAAATCACATTATCACCACGATAAAGGTTGATATTTTTAAGGAAATTTGTTATTTTTGTATTGCTTATAAATTTTGGAACCCCCACAGAGTATCTCCAGTTCGATTTCACACAAAATATAGACATTTCCCATTATGAATGCGATACACTTAATATAAAGATTGACTTGGGAAAAAATAAATTATAAATTCAGCTCGATTTTGGCTGACAAAACTTGCACCAATATTGACACTGTCTCATCTGCATAAAACTGAATCGAAACCCGGGGAGATTATACATATATACATATAGCCCCAGAATCGGTGTGAATTATTGAAACCGCCAAACCCATTGACGCGCATTGCCAAGCGAGACCAACCAATTTGTTAAGTATCGAAAAGAGGAAACACAAAACTAAATAAAAAGACAGCTTAAAATAATATTATTAGTTTTGGGAACTAGTTTATTGGGTTTAAATTCGGTTGCTGTAGCTGCATCTATATATTTTTGAATAGCGAAATGAATACAAAAGCTAATCGCTATTAAGTAGTCACTCAAATGAATCAAATGTCATCAATTTAGGTAAAACGAATTTTTCTTTACCCTTTTCGTGTATTTAGGGATTATTTTTATAACTAAACTAGTAAGCCAGGCGAACTCCGTTACGCCACCTTCGGCAAATTATCCGTTTAATTGAAGTGTTCTTTTTTGTGATGTATTGTGGTTAATGGAATTATCTAGGGACCAAAGAGCCCCTGGGATGTTAAAATCACCTAGAACTACTAAGTGGTCCCTATCCGAAAGTCTTTTAGAGACCAACTGAATAGTGGAAATATGGTTTCAATAAATAGGAAGTTCCGACAATGGAGGAAAGATGAAACTGTCTCGTTGGTGGTATTGCCATAAGGGGTTTTTTCAAGGTAAGCTGATTATCCGCCTTACCAATTTCGGCCGGTAGTCCGGGCCTGACACCCTGGTAGGGAACTGGGGCTCTGAGAGGACAATTGTTGGGACCCTCCAGTGGACAAAACGGATATGGGCAACACCGGGGGCACGGTCTCACCCGCGACACCTTCGGATAACGAATATTTTCTAGCACTCTATCTCAGGATTCTTGAAATTTGTCCTGAGGTCGATGGCTATGTCCAGGAAGGCTGCTGTTAGGAGACTGCCACGCTGGTTGGGATCCGCTTAGATGCTGCACACCAGTTGATCTTCGTGTGCCCACGCGTTGTCTCAATCGGGCATTTTCCCTTACTACATTTCGTCTCTCCTCGCTTAAGTTCTGTGAATACACTTGTTGCTGGATTGCATGCCTTGTGCGGAGACCGATGTTCACACGTCGTGCTATAGGCATTTTCGACTATAGGCAGAGCGGTTAATTTAACATAATCCACATAATTTACACAGTTCAACTTACCACCCTAAATACAAATGCTGGTTTCCAATTGCACTGATATGAATCGAATAACTTATTTTTTTAAAAAATGAACACAATTTCGATTTGTCATAAAATAAACTGAGTAGAAAATTATGGCATGCTATGTGTCAGTGTTGGCGCTTTATGCAAAAATGATTTTCCCGCTTTCTGTTGCAATTTTTCCTGAATTTTCTTTACTGCATAAAATCACAAATTCCGAGACCTTTCCAACGAATGCAAAACCGTGGAAATCGGTTCGTGCGTTCTGGAGTTAATTGATCCCCGCAGAAAACTCGACTTATTTTTATATAATAGATTTAGGTCTTTTCCTTTATTACATACAATTTTAAGATTTTTATTCTACATTCGTTTGATTTATATACATTTATCCCTAAACATTTCATCAAATTTTTGAAGGTTAAGTTTAAGTGCCCATAAACGACGACTTTGCTACATGAAAGCCATTCCACGTTTTGGGCCACGCTTTTTTTAGGTAGCCTGCTCATAAAATGGAATTAATTAGAGGCATAAAACTAATAACCATAATCGTGCATAATTATGGGAATAAAGTTAAGGGGTTCCCCCAGTCTAGTGACGACAGCAGCATCAAGGGTGCTAAATACATAATCAATGTCCGATTGATTCGTTCTCAGAATTCAATACGAATTTGCGCCTAAAAATCGCACAAATCAATAAATCTTTTAAACGTCTTTGACATGTGTTTGCCATGTTACCGAAAACTGAGACTTGAAATTAAACGCACCAACACCATTTCCTATCCAAGCGGACCGATGATTTCACTTTCCGTGGATGTCATAAAGTCCATTTTATGACCGTCGTGTTCTCATCGGATCTCTCCTCAAGGCCATGCCCCCCAAGTTGAATTATTTAGTTGGCACATCGCAAAAACTATCAGCACAGTGGGTCAAAAATTGGGCCATTAAAGGACAAGACATGCTTATAAAATATTTGTTCTTTAAAGTATGTCATGTAATATCTAGCTTAACATATTTTAAATATAGGGAAATATCGGAGAAGTAAATATTTTTGAGAGAGGCTTGGATATAGTTCAATACTCGACTTTGTCTTGATAGATCTCAAATATCTAGTCAAAGGTATCACAATAAATATTGTGTTTGCTACCACAAGTTATGTTAGATGCTTATTTTAATAAATTGTATGTATAAAAACCAAACAAAAGAACTAAAAAAGAGTATAACCACATGATATCAACTGAAAAAAACTACCCAATTAAATCTAATCTCCAAAGAATGCCCATAAAGGCAGCTATTATAATTTGATATTTGATATTATTAGTTTTTTTGAAAGCTTCCATTTAAACGTCAGAGAACTGGTTGCATCCCACTGTGCGCTAGAATATTAAAATTTTGAAAAATCAAATTAAAGGTGCCGCGAGCTGGTGACACGAGACGTTTTGTCCACACGGATAAGGCGGTGGATTGGGCGAGGCTGGCAACGGGTTAATCCTGTTTGATATCTCACTCCGCGTATCAATTAGGCATTAACTCACATTTATGGCCCAATTTGTTAAACGCACACATTTCAGCGCCTCGCAGACGGAGATAACGATCGGGGGAAAGGAAAGGGTCTGAACTGGAAAAGTTAAGCATTGAAGTTTGGTGCCAAGAGTGGCATCATAAATTATGCTAAATTCGTATCGAGACGCGTCTGTTTCAGATGCATTTAATTAAGCCTGCCTTTTTTGGGTGTGCCGGCCGAAACTAAAGCTCAAACTGAAACTGAATCTGGAACCTGAAAGCCTGAGACTAGAGACACGGACCAGACCTAGGCTAAGCTTCGACATTGACATTGCCGCATGGGGCTACGCTTTTAACTTTTGCTCTTTCCAGGGCCCACACATGGACACTCGAGGGTGGTAAGATAGCTCCTGAGATCCTGAAAGACTAATAGATAAACCTAATATTTTCATTAAAATAATATTTATAATCGTAACTTTGTGATTGATTTGAGAGGAAATCCTTCACAACATTCCTGTTTTTAGATCAATAAATAATTAAATTATATGTTCAATTACTTAATTAATTACCTAGTAGAATTTAAGCTTTATTTTGAAGCAGTTAGTTCTATATATTTATAAATATTTTTACAAAAAACCATAGATGGAGAACAATCCTCCGACAAGGCACCTATTTCGAATGTGGCAAGCATCCTCATCAAAAACTGTAAAACTAATAGAAATATAAAATCATAATTATTATTTCCTATTACTTTGACCTCAGCTGTATGCCTGTGCCCTCCCAGCTTGAGATGAAACTGAAAGAGACCACGAAGAGACTGTAGCCGGTGCGTGTGGCTTGGCTCTTTACTTTTTGGCCGCTCACGTCGCTCTAGTTTGACCAATTTCGGTTTTGCTGGGCTTATTGTTATTTAGATGAGTTTCCTGCAGCCGGGCGTAAAAGTTGTTTTGGGTGGATCGGGTTTCGAATCGAGAATTCGTATAAAAACATTGCCTATCTGCCACAGAGACATCATTCCGAGTCGTCTCGCAGTCTCAGACAAACATACTCAAAACCAAGATGTTCCGCTACGTAAGTAAAAAGGACGAACTAAGAAATATCGATTAGCCTTTGAAGAATATTAAGTATACGTAACGAACTTTTACTAATTGTCAATTCTTTTCCTTCTCCTTCAGATGCTCGTCGCCTCCGCCTTCTTGGCCTGCGCTTATGCTGCCGCCACCTACAACCAGGATGCTGGTGCCTACATCACCAAGAGCGGTGCCGACATCCAGCCCGATGGCCAGTACAACTACGCTTATGAGACTAGCAATGGCATCGCCGCCCAGGAGTCCGGCCTCGGAGGCTACCAGGCCAACGGCGGATACTCCTACTACTCCCCCGAGGGCCAGCTCGTCCAGATCCAGTATGTTGCTGACGAGAACGGCTTCCAGCCCCAGGGTGCTCTGCTGCCCACTCCTCCCCCAATCCCAGCTGCCATCCTGAAGTCCCTGGAGTACATCCGCACTCATCCCCAGTACGTTGAGCCTGCCCAGCAGAACCGTGGTTTTGCTCGCAAGACCATCTTCGGTTAAGTATTTCAAGGATAGCGTTGTAGCGCACTCTAAAAGCTTTATTACAATGTGTAAAAATGTTATTGTCGAGTTTAAATAAACGAGAAAGATTCGAAGAAAATTACTAATGTGAATTTATTTGGAGATATGAGAAAAACAAGGAATAAAGATGAACGAGTCGAATAGGAAGATCAAATAGCAACTTTATATTTAATTATTTATTTTATTATGCTGATGAAAAACTAAAACTAAGACTGAAAAGTTTTTTAAAAACTTAAATCAAATTTACTAATTTAAATTCAGCATTTATGAGCTTAGTTATAGTTTTTAATACCACTTTGAGGGTATTATAATTTCAGTCAGAATCGAGAAACGCAGTCAAGAAGTCATTTCCGACCCTATAAATCATATATATTCTTGATCAGCACCAATAGCTGAGTCAATTATGCCATTTATGCCAGAAAAAAAATTTTCAAAAATTTTTCAAAATTTTAAATTGTCAAAAATTGACCAAAAATTAAATCTCTTAAAAACTTAAATTTAGTATACAGATTTGTTAACCTATTAAAAACAAACAAAGAAATGCTTTCCGAATTTAAATTTATGCATTTTTGCCTTAGTTATGACTAATTTTCTATTCGATCCACCTCAAAATTTCGGCTTTAGGAGTTAAGCTTGCTTTATTGTTTTAGCTAATGACATTTTATAAAGTTTAACAAATGTAATAACATTCTATATTTTATAAATTATACCTAAGATCAAATGGAAAGGATATTTCGTTTTAAGAAGGAGCCACCAGTTCTTAGAAGCCATATCTACCCTTTCATCACTTTTTCTCTGTCTTCTGAGCTTTGAGCTACACTTGAAAAATTGAACTTTATCTTCGATTTAAAGCATACTTTTTGGATTAAACCAAAAATTAAAATAAATTGGTATCTAATTAGTAATGTGGCTATCTAAGATCGGCAGCAAATGGTGAATATTTACGATGACACACTCGGCATGTGTTTAAGTTTCAAGTTCGGCTTAGACTTTGGCGCAACTGCGCTGCCGGCATTCGCTCGCATTCATATTCGCATTTGCATCTCATTAACAACAAAAGCCGCTAATCGAGTGACAGTCCGAATCGCCTGTTGGCGCCTCCGTTGTGGATACACTTTCCTTTGAGGGGAGATTCGAGTGATTTGTTGAGTGCCTTTGTCGGTCCTTTTGGATCTCTCGAGTGAAATGGTAATTGAATTTCTTCTTGATTTTAAATAGTGGAATTTTTTAAAATTTTATTTTAAATATTTTAAACATAGAAGAATCAATAGGTTCTTTAATATATTAATATAGGAACATTATTATATATTTTTATGGGTGTTAAATAATAAATTACAAATTTAAATTAGGTATTCCATATTCTTTTATCTCATATTTAAATGTATTATTAAAGAAAGTTCCCCTTTTGTGGTCAAGTTATCCATAAAAATATTTTTATTATACTAGAATTAATATTTACATTATTTACACGCATTTATAATTTCAATATATATATATTCTATACTTTAAATATTTTAATATAAATATAATCTGTAACCCAAAAAGTGTCTTTAAAGTTCGGCTTTATGATTTTTTATCTGCTTTAGTTCGGTTAACAATTCATATATTTATTATGAATTTAAGTCAAGATTAGATAAGAAAAGAAGCATTGTGGCTGGCATCTGTAAATCGCGATCGTTGATCTGTGATTTCCAAGGCGCAGATAAGAATGCGCTTTAGCTACAGATGTAGAGGTTATAGAGCACCACCTGGGCCGGTCGTAAAAGCCGTTGAAAAGCCCAAACAACAGTCGATAACAAACGCAGCTATTAAGCGAGCAACGCTCGTAAAACTCGGTCAAACTCATATTTTCAGATGCGCGAATTAAATTAATAATTCGGACCGGCGAAGAGTCATCTGGCGCTGTGTTGTAGGTGTAGGTCAGTGATCGGATCGGAACGGTTTAGCAGGTTGGGTTTCGAGTATAAAACGAACTGTTGGCGGATTTCGAAATCAGTTTATCAGTAGCAACTGCAGCGAAACAGCAAAACACAGCAAATCCAACCTGCCAATATGTTCAAGAGCGTAAGTGTTATCATATCTAAATAGTTATCATATGGTATTTCTAACCGAGGTCTTTATCTGGCACCGCAGGCGCTAATCATTTCCATGTTCCTGGTGGCCGTCATCCGAGCTGCCGATGAGTCACAGGCCGAGATCACCAAGTACCGCAATGAGATCAAGGAGGATGGCAGCTACAGCTGGGAGTACGGCACCTCTAATGGCATCGATGCCCAGGAGAGTGGAGTGGGCGGTGTGAATGCAGCGGGTTCGGTCAAGTACACAGCTCCCGATGGAACACCCATCGAGCTGGAGTACACCGCCGATGAGAACGGATACCAGCCGAGGGGTGCCCATTTGCCCACGCCTCCTCCCATTCCCGACTACATCCTCAAGGCTTTGGCTTACATCGAGGCCCATCCCTTCACCAGGATCCAGCTGAAGAAGTAGATTCTAATTACTTTTAAATTTAGATGTAATTTAGCCAAATTTTTCTACACAAAATATAAAATCTAAGTAATCAATTGAATTTTTGTGTTATTTAAAACAAAGGAAAGTGATAAAACATAGAAACTATTTGCTATGATTTAATTTAAAGAAACTCTTTATAAAACCCCACAATGCCAACACCCAATGCACAATTACCATTATCTCTGTGTTTGTTTTCTTCTTTATTGGTTGTAAATCATCGTTTAATTGCAACAATTTGTGATATAATTTAGCGTTCCGATAAAAGTCCCTTTGTCGGCTTTAGTTTGCAACTAAAGTACAATTGATAGTTTGGAATAAATCATAGATTCAACTGCCAGACTTTTGTTGCTCTCATTGAGCTTGAATTAAAATTTTCGTTTGTTGCGCGCTTTTCAAGTGCCGAAAAAAATCATCGAAAAAATGTCACATAAAATTGTCCATCAGCTCGTTATGCATCTTGTATCTCTTAAATCACATTGAAAACATGCACTCTCTCTCTCTCTCGCCCCCTTGCTGCTTGTGTTGTTAATATTATTTCATAATCGTAATTATTATTGTTATTCTTGTTTTTGTTTTCTGGTTTGTTTCTGAAAAGTACAACGTGCACATATCTTAGTAGTTGAATTAGTTCATAATATGTTGTCTCGCATTTGTTGTGTGTTTTTACAATAAGTTAACGTTTATCTTTATATCACCCCTGCAGTGGGCTTGCTTTATCTTTTTGCATAGGCAACTGTTGTTTAATTATTTTAAGGTTTTTTAATGATTCCTCGCCTGTCCGCATGTCCGTCCGTCAAATGTCTCATGTCTTGGGGTTTTCTTAATTTTTGTTTTTCGAAAAATGATCTTTAGAACTAAATTGTTTCGTTAGTCGCTTAAAGAGGTTTCGATTTATTGTTTAGGCCGCTTAGCTTAGTTAATCAAGTGTTCCTTTTGCGTTTCCAATTGGCTTTGCTTGTTACAATAATCAATTAAGATGACTTTTTGAGTAAATTATAAAAAAGAGTAGAAAAATCTAATAGATATCATTACCTTTGCTTTTCTTTTTTTGTTTAGTTTATCTAGTTTTAGTTTTAGTTTCTTTTTCGTGTTTGCAAAAAGTGCTATTCGCTCAAAAATTATTAAAGGTTCTTTTTTTTCGTTTTCTGTTGCTTCTGTGTCGTGTTATAGATCTCGAATTATGTAGTTATCGCTAAGCATTGATCGAGTAGCGTTATTTTTTTTTTTTTGTTTTTTGTTTTCTTCACCTCTCTATAGAGTACACATAAGTATAGTTTTCATTACAGTTACTAAAGACATAAATGAACGCATTGACTTAAACTTAAACGCAAAATGGGGGCCGTATGAGGGATGCGGGTTAACATAGGTATCGCTTAATAAACGTAATCTAGAATCTAGAAGACTGCCTGTCTATTTGTAAATTTCCAAAAATGTCAATATGTGTATGCGGCTCTGGTAAGGTAATGGGGTTAGAATAAGTGTTGGATTAGTCTCGGGTTAAGTGTTGTATCTCATCCGCCTTCCTGCTTCCTGCATCTGTGTGTCTCCTTATGCCGTTGTGGGCGACGCGGCCGGTGTGGCGGCATTGGTCAACTTGGGCGGATGCGTGGCATTCACCACGCGGTTCGTATTGTCCAGCGTCTTGGAGTGCTGCAGCTGCATCAGGTAGTGCTGCTGCGTCGGCTTGTGCAGCGCCAACTGCGACAGGGCATCATCGATGGTGAACCACTGGCGCTTCCGACCGATGCTGCGCGAATCCTCCCACTCGTCCAGCTCCTGGGTAACGTTCATCACGAACACCTCGGTGCGATGCATGTGGTCGTTGTTCTGAAACATGTCAATAGATTTAACATTTACTAATATATACAACATAAATCTATTTAAACAAACCTCGAATACGCCAAGACAACGTCCCAGATCGCCCACGACACCAGCTTCCTCAAGAACTTCACGAACAGCGGTTACCGATGGTTCTTCCTCAGGCTCTACTCCGCCTCCAGGAACAATCCACAACTCCGGTCGGCGAGAAGAGGTGACCAAAAGTACCTAAAAGATAGAAACGTTAGTAATGAGCTTATAGTTTTGATTAACAAAATACTTTTCTCACCTCCGCCTCATTTTCCGATTTCACGCAAATACAGGCTGCCCGTCGCCTGAATCCATCCTTGTCGTAGATACGAGTTGAGTTGGGCTTCTCCTTGACCATCTGGAAAACAGAAAAACACCAAATCAAAATCGCCGCACTTGTAGAACTTAATTTAAAGCTGAAATGTGACAAAATCCCCTTCATATGGGCACGTTTAAAAATAATAATAATTGCTGATAAATGGCAAAGCTCTTAATATATCATTTTATAGCTGACGCCTTTAATTTGAATGTGCGGGCACAGGAAAATCGTGATTCCGGCCTTATCAGATGCGAGATTGTCCCGCAATCGGCGAATTGCAGCGCCCCTGTCCGTCCGGCTTATCAGCCGGTACAGGCAGTAAGTACTTGACTTGGGTGCCGGTCGCGTTTTGTCGATCGGCGTCCCTCGCGAATATTATATGTACTAATTTATGGGTCTGCTTTCCGGCAATCATTGTGGGGGTGGGCGTGCTGGGCAAGTAGTATTGAAAAGCGATTAATGTTGGAATGAAAAAGCGGACAAAAGAACTATAGTATATAACAAATCGATTTGAAAATCGGGTCAGACAGATAGGAGCTTAAATACAGACTTTGGAAACTTTAAACTTAACTTATCTTTAATTCTATTACAATTTGTAGTTTAACAGTTGTCCGTTTATGAAATTCTAAGTGAAATAACAAAGAAAAACGCCAAGAAGGAAGGCAGATGTAAGAATGTTTGTATAATTTAAAAAAGTTTGGCGTTTAGTTTGTTGTCAAACAGCTTTTCCCGCCCTTGTATCAGGAAACAACAGGTGCATTTACCGCCCTACGTCTGTTCTTTGCAGGGTAATTTCCTTGTCCATCATTCCCCTCTTCTTTTCCCCATTCGTGTTTGCTTACTTTTGCAGTGGTATTCGCTGATAGCAGATGAGCGGTGTTGTCTTCTTAGGCACTTGTTCTCCTTCTCCTCGTCGCCCACCTTATGCTCCTCTTCTTATCGCTCCTTTGCCCGTTCTCCTCTTCCGTTGCAACAAGTGTGTGTCAATGTGCGCGCGAGACGTGTGTGTAAGTGAGTGGGGAGCCGGTCGCTTTTGCTTCTTATGATTTTCTGCTTTTCTGGCGATCTCGTGCCGCTTTCTTGCAGGTGCTTCTGGCTCGCGCTCTCTCTATCCCGCTCTCTCCTCCCCTCCTCTTCTCCTTTTCACGCGATCACAACGGAACAACACAAAGGGAAATGGCGAAAAGTGCTGGTATTTGTTCGTGTGCGTCAGTGTTTGTTTTTGTTTTGAAGTATTAGCGAAAAAAGAACTGCGCGTCGGAAGACGGGAGTGTGTGTGTGTGTGTTTAAAGGGGGAAAACAGAAACAACAAACAGAAACTTGTTGAAAGTACGAAAAAAACAAACGAGAAGAACAAAAATGAAGAAGGAAATAAAGCGCAGACAGGGCAGAATTATTTAACTACTTTGCAAAGATTGCATGGTTGTTGTTGTTTTTGGTTTTTGTATTGGTTTTATACGGCAAAAACAGTGTATGTATGCGTGCGTGAGTGTGTGTGTGTGTGAGTAAGAGTCGCAGCTATTCTCTTTGTACTAAAACTTGAGATGCAATTTTGGATCTCGGCTCAAGTTTTTGTCGCAATTTCACCAGCTCCACTCGTTCGCCTCTTTTGCCGTTTCGCCTTTGCGCCTTTATCTCAGCGACACACATGCGTTTTCGTTTTCGCTTTCCATTGCCTCCGCGGTGTGCGTGTGTCTGTTTTTCCGGCTGCTGCGAATGCGATGCGGCGAAAGAAAAACTCCTTGGAAAATGCAGGGAAAAGCCCCAGATATAGCGTGCTTTTGACCCGTTACGACGCGAACGAAGCCGCGCGGCTCTTCTCCTTTGTGTGGCGAGAAAAGACCGCTTTTTAATCGTATTTTTGTATTTCTTTTCCCGTCGAAAGAAATAGAAATTGCCGTTTGTTACTAGAGATGTGAAAAATATGTAAAGTTATCAATATATCGATATAAAAGCTTATTTTTTATATATTTGTTTTATTATTTTTTCTTAATTTATGAAAAAGGTTGAAGTGTTTGATTTAAGGCTTTGCGATTTTGGCGAGTTTCACGAAAAATCGTGTTTTCCTGGTCGTAAGGATCGAAAATTGTTGAAAAGCTTAATTTTCCACAAACAGTCTGGCAACACTGATAACGGTTCAAGCGACACCTATTAGGGCATGTTGCAAGTTACTAGTGCCCAAAATAACCGATTGGAGGCGCCAACAAAAACACGTTAGATTTAAAACTAAATAAAAACTTTAAAAACCTGGAACTTTAAACGATAAAATAAAAAGAATAAAATATATATTAAGTATTAAAGTCGGATACAATTATATTATTTTGTAATATTTCATATATCACATATTTGGAGTGAGTTATAGATCCTATTTACATAAAAAATATATATTTAACACCCATTATAATATTTTAATCTGCTTAGAAAGTATACATTAAATTCTATTAAAGTTAAAAAACAGACTACAAGGCAAATCCGCATGACTTACAAGCTACAAGCCCCAAACTCCGCTCAAAGAGTCGCACAGTTTTGAGTCGCTGCCAGCAAAGGGCAACGCAGGATACACTAGACAAAAAAAGGGGGTGGTGGCTTAAGCAGACGACTTTACGGCCAAGGCGCTGGGCTGCGCGCAACCAAAAATTTGTTTCTTGTCGTGTTTGTCTGCTATTGTCGCAGGTTTTGTTGTAAGCTTTTAATGCAACTACTTAGCTCGGGGTAAATTTAGGGGAGAAGGAGCACCGCACCGCGTGTCCTTGGGCCCAGGGAAGCCCACTCACTCACTCTCACTCCTCCCCCGAATTGGCTCCTGTTGCCGTTTTGCCGATCTCTGTGGCACTTTTTGCTTTGGGCCAAGAGAAGCTAAGAAACAAATTGCTTATTTCTTAATGCATTCGCCATTTCCTTTTTTGGCCTTTCTTAGACAATTTCCCCTCAGCTTCCGCCGCGGCCTCAGCCTTGTGTCGCATGAGTTATGGTCGCCGTTTCCATTTCCATTTTCATTTCCATTTTCTTCTTCTTTTGGGTGACCATGCAGAAGTGTTAAGCAGTTTAGCGCGCTTTTTTCATGGGCTTCTTGGGCGGCGGCTCCTTCTCCTTTTGCAATTTGCGACACTTGCTCGGATGATGATAATTCTGGCGAATCGATCGGCTTCTCCTGCTTCCGACTTCCGTTTCCTGCCCCGCCTTCTGGTTTTTCGGGACGGACGGCGGCACGCTTTGCTGCACATAAATTCAATGTCATAAATTTGGCAAGAGGCGTCGCTGTGGCTACCAAAAAACTTTGCCTATTTGATGCGTCCGTGTGACCTCTCAACCAAATAGAGATAGAGGAGCAATGAAATCAAGTGTGGACAGTGGGAAATTCAGCGGGAAACTCGAGGGAGATGCGAGGAAATATCAGTGAGGTCAGTGCCAATGGAGAAGCTGGAAAAACCTATATTATTTATTTATTTTTCGGATCGAGTTTTAAACCTCTTAATAAATTATAAATATTTTTCTGTAATCAAAAATGATTAAGATTCTTCATCTAAAATCCATATTTATTCAATACAACAATTTATGAGTACACTGTTGATAGTTTTTAAACCCATTTAAGTCTGTTATTAATCCAGAATCCAAAATCCCTAGACCAAATCAAATTGCACTTATTTCCATTCTCTACCTTCATTTATTTTCGGTTTCAACTACTTTTTCATGCTTCTCCTTCATAAAATTGTTTTTCTTTTCCATGTTTCCCAGTGTTTATACTTTTTTTTTCCTCCCCGTACGTTATCCTGCGGCTGTTGTGGTCAACGTATCGTCCTGTCTACTGTCATTTTCCTTTCTGCCTCTTCTCCATTTTCTACGCTTTCCCACCGAAAAACTTCTGACCACGTTGGCGAGGAAACTTCATGAATTTAAATGAACCCGATTCCCTTAAGTTACTGTTAATTGAGCCGGCAAATGGGATTGAATGCGAGAGCGGACCGACTTTCTGGCCAATTCCAATTGGAAAGTTGCTGACTCTTCCCTGCGTCGCAGGTGTTTGCAATTTGTCGTTAATTCACTAATCCCACTAATGCCACGCCCCTGTCATCAAGGGGCGCCACGCTCGCCACTTGCTTCTACTCTCCGGGAACTTTTCCTTTGGCAGCATATTGTTTCATCCTGGCTGGCAAGGAGATGGGCGGAGATAAAGGACCTTTGGAGTCACCTACAAACGCAATTTGGCAACAAAATGCACGAAACAGTACAAAACAAAGCGACAAACATTTACAAAAGTAAAAAGGCAACAAGAACAACACGAATGGAGTGCCCAGAATTATACAATTTATGCGATTTACGAGCTGGCACCCTCCGCTCCATTACTTTGCTTTCAGAGAACAGAGATGCTCCTCACAGCGGACTTATTCATAAAAGATTTGAATTAAACATTAAATTTTAATTATGAATAATATGGGTACACTTTATTGCTGAAAGTTAGTTATTTTTGGAACTTATTATTAATAAATTACAGATTTTATAAATATAGAAAATGAGTTTCTATCTAAAAAGAATATAACTATAAAATAATCTTCTATATTAAAATGAATTTTCTTATTTATTTCCTTTATATTTTTGTTTTAAAAATTTAAACTCTCATCACTGCCTGCAACTCGGGGAGTCCTTTGTCCTGCTTTTTTTGCTAGCGGGGCTGGAAACTATTTCTATTGCTGCGGCGCCAACATTGCCTGGGCAAGGATATGCCGTATTTCCGTTTACATAATAAATTTGCTAACCACGTTCTGTCCTCGTTGCGTCCTCCGCCCCCTTTCCTGCGGCTCCTGCCGCTGGTTTACCCAGTGTTTCCTCCTCCGAGTGAAATGCGGCATCGCCACCAGCGCCGCCGCCATCGCTTGGCATCAAGTGCCTTGTGGTTTCACTTCTCTCCTCCTCGTCCACCTTCTCCTGGACCATCTGAGGTTGAGGTTAAAGTTGAGGTCGCAACAAGAAAATAAACAACAAAAAATTTGGACAGCAAACGCAACAGAGGCGAAGACCTCGGCGTTTTCAGCGTTTTCAGCGCTTTATAAACTTTAAAACTTGCCCCGAGGAGGTGATATCTTGTGACAATTGCTTGGTTTTTGACGGAAGTCCAACGGCGGCGACAACAACTTTTGCTTGATCACTGGGCGGCCGCTGGTCCAGTGTGGCCTCTAATTAATCTATTAAATCGAAACCACAAACGAGAGTCCAGTGCGCCTAAAAAAAACGAGAGGGGAAGGTTATGGCGAATTTTTAAATACACTTGTTTTGTGAAAAATTAAAGAAACAGGAAATTAAAATAAAGCAACATGTAGTCTATAAATATTTACATTTTATTTTGATTCTCAAATATTATACAATACTTGAGATACTTAATTATGTTGATAAAAAGTTTTACTTTCAATCTCTAAAAATCTAAAGATATGTTTGAAGTATTAATTAATTTATTTATTATTTAGAAAGCTATTAAAATGATATAAAATTACAAATAAATTAAATTTCAGAAAGTTAAATCTCACAAATAAATCGCAAATATTTATCACTAACAAATTCGTATTTTTTAAAAGCAAAAACAACCCCTTTCTAGGGTATAAAGGAATAGCTATACTTTCCATCATTGAGGAAGTTGTCTCCGCTGGGGAGTTGATTTGAATTGGTCCCCTTCAGCCAGGTCTTGGGTCCGATCTCCTATGCTGCCCAACTGGCCGCTTCCGTTTTCCGCTGGAAGTGAAATCTGTTGGCGGCGGATGCCATAAAAATGCCAACTTAGTGGGCAGGTTGGGCTGGCAGGTAGGCAGCTAGGCAGGCGTTTCTGGGGCGTGGCAGTCGCTGTTACTCCCAGTTTCCCAGCTCGCAGTTCTCTTAATTTTCTCTCCTCTTCCCACACAGATGGAAGCCATCCAGAGCCGCCGTCAGCTGTCCCGTCCCGGGGGTTCAACAACCCGATCCTGACGGAGCTGCCGTTCGTTCTACTAATGGCTTGCCACACTTTACATTAGCGTCACAATTTATTGGTCGACTGCTGCGCCGGCGCAGACGCATCTCAGACATTGCAAGAGCACTGGGAGAAAAATCTTTATGGCTTTGAATACTATAGAAATCATTTAAATATTTAAGCTGAAAGAAAAATTAATTTATTTGTTATGGTTAACTTTTATTTATTTATTATGTAAAATAGAGAATATCTTCCTTACTCATCTTTAATTTTATTTCTCAGTGCTTTGTTCGGCCCACTTGGCCGCCTGCTCCACGCATTGCTTGGTAGCTAAAATGGTCATAATAATAATAAAAATTTTCTGCAGTCGCCAACGCGTCGCATCGCAGTCGCAGTTACTGCTGTTGCTGTTGCTGTTGCAGTGGCTGCTGCAGTTGCATTCGCTGTCGCTATCGAGGCGTTTGAGCGCATGTTTGACGCATCAAATGATGACGACCACAACTACGGCGATGATGATGATGATGATGATGGCAACAGGTCCGCCAGGCATTCCCCATTCCCAGTCTCAAATCGAATCCCATTCCATTTGCCCAGTTAAGCTCCAGCTCCCGACTCCCGGACTCCCAACTCCCAACAGTGCGTAAGCTCAGAGGCGACCGGTTTATGTCAAATGTATTGACAGGTGCATGGCGACGGCTGCTCCAGATCATTGAAACAGGCTCAAATCGGTTCAGTTAAGATCGCTTGCGGGATGAAGGTGGGCTCCATAGCCGCTGCGGGGGCATTGGGTGGGCACTCTCCAGTGCATCCATCACTGTCAGCGCGAGGGTTCACTGTGATCGCTGGTCTTTTGAAATTTATGAGTTATAACTCAAAAGGAAGCTATGATTTTGTGTTGTAATATTTGATTATTTATTTTAACTATCTAACTGATGAGTAGTTTTTAAGATTAATATGTCTTAATAACATATTAAGTATACGCAGGGTGTGACTTT